CAAGTGTGTGATACAGTTCTGGCATGATCTTTCTTGCCCTACACCCAGCAGTCAAGACTATACAGTACAGTATATCCTACTGTTACATTGGGTTGAATTCTGTAAATAGGAGTTGTGAAAGTGAAAACAAGTCTCCAACCAAACTCAGACTAATTAGTATAAGCACAGTTAGCTGGCACGCATATCCCAGAATCCCATCGTACCCTCCTCCTCATGCCCGCTTGCTGAGGGTGCTGGTGACCTCACCCTCAGTGCTGAGCTGAGTGGGTCAGTGGCAAGGTGTACATCACTGTGTTTACCCAGAACCATCAGGTCAGTCTCAGGATTTCCTTACCTTGTGTCAGTGAAAACCAGTTTAAGCTTTCCTGAGATCTTTGCAGCCTGAAGTGTGGATGTGTTTATGTGCAAGTGAAATTTCATATGCCCCTGTTAATCGAGATTTATATAAAGGACAGCAGTTAACCACTGCCCTGAGGCATGCACTATAGAAATGAGTTAATACTACAAGAAGTCATTTTTTTGTCTGTGCCAAGTCTGAAGTAAACCTGGAGGTCTATCTATGTAGAGTGTACAGACAGGAAAATACTTTGATGTGATGCTTTTGATCAATAGGAAAAATAGGCTTTATTAATATCTTACTTTCCCATGTTACTTGATGAAATAATTGATTGGGATGTTATTTACATGTGAAAATGTATTAGTATATTTGTCATGACGGTGGTTGTAATGTTGATGAAGTTGAAAAAACACTTCTTCTACTGCTAGTAATCTAACATTGTTTTAAAAACAGTAATTAAAATTACACTATGTTTTATGCTCCACTATGTCCTGCATTGTAATAGGAAGTCAAGTTGATTCAAGTCAATCTAAATTGTCTGTAATGTTTTGATGGATAGATTGCACTTTACTTAAGAATGGCCACCCTGATCATGGACCTGAATTTAATTAATTAATTTGCTGTATCTCCTTCACAGCAATGGCGAAAGTATGTAACAAGGCACAGAATGCCACTAGTGGTGTGGTTCAGTGAACATGTATATCAGTATACATAATCCCTCTTCTGATACAATACTAACAGTAAAAGAGGACCAGTTATCTGAAAGGCCTTGAATTGAAATTCACATTCACACATAAAGCTAATTATTATAGAGCCAATAAATCCTTTGTAAGTGAACGCTAATTGAAAAACCAAATTTCTTTAACAATAACAAATGCAAATTGCCTTTTGGTTCACAAAGATCTTGTGGTCAAATACTAATACAATATTAAATACCCCATTTGTTTTAATGGCTCTCCCCTTATCTCTTTTGCAAAATTCTACATGGTGCAGAATGTATCAGAAGGTGCACTTCCGACATTTTTTATAAATACTGTATACCAATGCTTCTACTGTTTGTAATGTAGAGCTCTGGCATTGAACTGCTGATGTCCAAGATCTTTGTCTCTGTCCATTTCCATATAAGAAAGGAAACCTGGCAGTATAATTCCACCAGGATACGGGATGATACAGGATATACAGTACAGTACTGTCTCTGTACACTCTATAAGGAACGCACACAGCTGCAGCACATCTAACTAACATAGGGTAACAGCCAGTCAGAAAACAGAATGTCTAAAATATTATTAATTAATATTATAAAGGATTATAATATTAATCCTCAGATTGTTCCTTTGCAACCAGCATGCTGATGCAGCGCTTTGCACAAACATCATTAATATTACAATTACACATTTGTAGAAACAACATCGTTTGTAAGTGGTACCTTTCTCCATGACATTGCCAGATCTGGACTGCTGTGCTGTAGTGCCACTCTTCTTCTGCTTACATCTCACCCTCACAATAACACTCTAGGTTGTGGAATTGTACAGAAGCAATATAGTACATGAAAACCTGTAAAAACTATGAAACCATGAAAAGAAAGTATAATAATCTGTCCAGAGGATAGATCTCTAACCCCCCATGTTCTTGTCATTTTATGGACAAGTGAGGGATCTGCAGGTCTGATCCAAGAAAGGCATTCCTGTGGATTTAGACAGTCAACAAACAGAAATTTGGACAATTAAATTGAATCATATTAAAGTCTACTTACTGAGCAACAGATTGGTGCGATTAAATCCTTGAGATTTTTGGTGTTTGACCATAACAATGAAAATGTTTCTCTTTTTTAAATGCTAGAAGGAAATATTAATTATAGATCTTCCAAGATTAAATGGAAGAAAATCAATTCTGATGTTCAGATTTTTCTTGCTTTATTAAATCTATTTGCAAGGTGTGTCTAGTAGTTAACTAGTTATTGATTTATTTTCTCCAATATTCCATAATAGGCTAGTGTCTCTCCACAATTTCTTTTAATTTTTTATTCTGCAGCACATTAATCATGTTTATGTATTACCCAGGTTTATTAGGCATCTGCCACATGAAGGGACCTCATTGTTAGACATAAAATGGCTGAACTTTGACTTTGAATCCAAATGCAGGTTATCAAATACACATTTTTGTAATATCGTAAACAAAAACAAAAAACAGTAATAAGACATTGACAAACTGTTATGCAGTATAATGAATAGTAAGGAGTAACAGCTAAGAAGAATGTGAGATCACTCAAGCAACATGAGAGAAATTAAAATAATCTAGCATTTACTTACCCTGTGGGACCCAAAAATATCCAGTTAATCCAGTGTGTAACTGAAGATAATGCCTTTCTGTCTTTTCCTGGTCAAAAGGCATGCTTGAATATTGGATTGGTCATTTGCAGAAGTCTAAAATCTCCAGCAGGTGCTATTAAAAGATAAGAAAAGCTCATAAGGTAGTAAATATGGATAAGAGCAGGCATTTTAAAACTGTGGACCACTTGATTGCAATGCAATCAGGTATATCATTCCATTCTATTATTGTGACAATATTTTACTTAAACTGACTACAATATCTTGTTTGTCAGGAATGGCATGTTCTGTATCTTCAACATAATTCTCACGATATAAAGTATCACTGTTGATATTGCACTCAAATTTGGATCTCTCTCCCATGTCATTATCTCATTTTATTTCTGCCACAACCTTCAGCTGCTACAATTACTTGGTATTGTTCACGGTTGCATATTAGCTCTAAATAAAGAATGAGAAAATAAAAGGACATTAACATGAATCATTAACAGTTAGGATTTACTGCACAGCTCATGTGTCTTTACAGACATTGTAACACTACTCTGCAAATGTCTGAGACATTTTGCTTTTCTCTCATTAATTTTCCCTCATTATGCAGAATCAAAGTTCTATGGGGATCTTTCACTGCATTGATAGCCAATTGGTTAACAGTAAATCTTTGTAGACTTGTGTGATGAATTAAAATAGTAGCCTTTTAGCTTAATGAGTGTGTAGAAAGGAACAAAGATCATTCATGACCAGGAACACCTGACATTATCTTAAGAAGATTCATAAATAAATATCATGAAGAAGTTGCTAGCCTATTACATATTGGCTAAATACAGTATGTGCACTTGGCCTTGTTGCTGTCATCAAATTCTTGGAAATTCTGATCTGCAAAATTGAAAGATTTTAGAGTTAAAGATGCTTAAAGACAAGTTTGGTTTCATCTCACCAAGACTCACCAAGACTATGCTATATTACTAACAGCCAGAGTTATTAGTATATTTATTATAATATTTCCTTACATTTATACAGCACTTTTATGGACACTCCACTCAAAGTGCTCTCCCTACACCACCATCAATGTGCAGCACCCACCTGGATGATGCAAGGTTGAATTGTTATAAAATTAGGAATCACTAGTGAATTATTTGTATAAATTATTGATACTTGGACATACAGTAATGCTTCAAAACAATTTCTTAACTAACATTTAACAGAGAATGAATACATAGACCATTAACGCAGAAGGACTTACATATCTGAAGGATATATTATTATTAGTAGTAGAAGTATGTTCTTATTATCTACAGTAATTACATTGTTATTACTAGATGCTATGAAAATGTTATATTTGCATTTACAATTATTGTGCTAAAAGTTTTTAAGTATTTAATTTATTATTTTGTGGGAAATGTTATTCATATTTCTTCAGATGCAAAATTTGTAAAATTCTTACAAATTGTTTTATAAGAATTTAGACAAGGGATTAATTCCAAGTTTACACCGCTATTAGGCAGATTTGTTGTGGTGGTTAAAAGTTTTTATATGCAAAAAAGAAAATGTTTGAATTGTGTATTTTATTTTGTGTACACCTTCTGTAAAGTAACCCTCAAACTAATACTCTGACAACATGGTTCTTGATACGTCCATGTTAGAAAATCAAAATTCACTAACTTAAAAGCATATTGACCTAGATTTTCAAATATATACTGTATGTTTATTTGATGTATTGATGATACTGTATAAAAATAGGTGGACCCAAATAGGTGGAGCCCCCAATGATTTATAATTATAATGAAGCAGAAAATATTTTCAGTGTAAAAACAAAAAATGTACAAAAGTACTGCATAATGTCACATGAATACAAATTTGATAATTTATCCCTATGCAGTGAATATGGTCCAATATGTTTAGTTTGTGTTCAGATTTGTGATGCTACATTATGTGGCGTATACTGATCGGTTTCATGAAGTGCTTAATAAAACTGAAGAGCATACAGACAGATTCATTTACATGATAAAAGTAGCTACTTCTACTGCTACTAATCTAATATTGTTTAAAAATAACATTTATTGTGCACAAAATAATTTTATGTTCCACTAACTCCTGTATTGTAGTCATAAGTCCTGTTGATTCAGGTCAATGTAAATTAATTTCCCACAATGTCTTGATGAAATTATTACACCTTTTTAGCTTGGCTACCCTTGGTCGTGAACCTGAGTTTAATTAATTAACTTTCAGTGTTTAATCTCTTGCACTGCAGTGGTGCACTGCAGGGCTAGGATCAAAAGATTATTTACCAACAGGACCCTGTCAACCCTAACGTTTCCTTTTCCTCTGGTAACTTGCAGCTGCTGCCCCAAAGTTGAAGAAGTTGAGGGACCAGTCTGTCCGGGAGGGCGAAAAGCTCATACTGAAGTGTGAGGCCACAGGCAACCCCATTCCTACTTACAAGTGGTACAGAGATGGCAGCGAGCTGAAAAAGAGCAAAGAAATCAAAATAAAGACTGGCAAGTAAGTCAAACTATAGGATTCTCTCGTCAAAGTCGTCCTATTCACAGTCTACTAATCTCAAAATAAAAAATAAATCCCAGAAAGGATATCATGAATACCCTTAAATGAAGCTTTTTTTATATAAAAGTGTGTAGAAGAAAAACTAAGCTTGTAATATTTTAGCTTTTCTTTTTTCAGGTTCAGATGGCCTCCACTCATTTGCAAGTGTTCTTATACTTTTATACAATCCTTAATTACATTGTACTAGCGGATTGTATTTGAACATTTTCATGCGCAGGGAGTTATGTACAAAGATCTTATTTATAGGAACAAAGAAAGGTTTATTCCATGTTGAAAGGAAAAGGAAAGAGACACGAGGTGGAGTCTGACACCCGAAAAAGGGTCCACAGCCAAAACATGTCTCTTTTCTTTTCCTTTGCTGCCTATGAATGCTGACGCAGCTACTGTACCTTCGTCTGATTTATGTATTATACAGTAGCTGTTTCCATGACCTTTGGTCTAATAGCTATTGGGCGCCTTAATCTTTTATTAGAGATTATCATAGTATTGTAGAGATTAACCTGTTAAATTCAGATTTGTCTCCTATCTGGTTAAGACAGTCGGGAGTTATATAATCAGCCCTGCGTGTTAAGGGTTCTGGTTTCTCTCTGGATGAGTGGTTAGGTGCCTCTTCCTTCAGGTTGTGTGTTTGTTCCACTCCTGCTGCACTCTGTGGAGGTGTAGAAACACATACCGTATTGACAGCTCTGTGTGAATTCACCTGGCGTCTGCAGCACCACTGCAAGGATGAGTCACTGTTTCGTAAACTAAATAAAATAAGTACCATATCATTTTAATGATCAACACATACTAATTAGTAAATATCACTGTTGAAAGTGAAGAGAATGTTTATACGGTATTTGTCTGCCACTGTGTGAGGAGACCTTTGCACAGTGCAGTTAGGCTCTGCTGTAAGGTGCAACATGCTATTTACTTGGTGAATACCTTTATGGTGCATAACTTCATTATATTTCATTTTTTACTTCCACAATAATTCTGTTATCACTGTATCTTCTCCTATTCTTTTTTCCTCACTGCTGTATGGGCAGTAGTTTAAAATACTGTACAGTTCAATTTGTGTCTTTCTAACTTTGTGGTCTTTATCGTACCGAAGAAGCATCCATTTTGTTCCACATTTTCCTAATCAATTTGTAAAACCACAATGTATTACTAACTATGTCTTTTCCACGTGTTCCTTTTCATAATTTTTAACGTGAGACTGATTTAAAAAAAATTATGACAATCTAATGTCATTAATCAGTACATTATTTGAGTTTCTTTTCAGGTTTTGCCAAACACACACTAAGTTATGGGCAGAAGCCAATATTCCCCATTATACTACCTTAATTCTGGTGGTATCTTCAGTTTCATTATGTGGAAAGTATTGCATTTGGCAGCTGAAATTAAAAGTCCTTATGAAGCCTGTATTACTCAGTGCAGTGAATGTTTGTTCATGAGCTTTACTTTCCTGTCCTATGTTCTTGTTTTTCCTGTCTTGTTCCAGCTCGTTAAATTCCTGGAAATATGTAATATAAAGTATTACCCCCACTGTAGTTACATGGTTCTGCTAAAGAATATTAATTCTTAGGGGTGGAGTGGTGGCACTGTGGCTAAGGATCTGCACCTGTGGCTGGCAGGTTGCTGGTTCAAATCCTGTGGCTGGCAGAAGAATCCTATTCCGTTTGGCCCCTGAGCAAGGCCCTTAACCCCAGCTGCTCCAGGGGTGCTGTATAAATTGCTGTGCTCTGACCTCCAGCTTCTCACCCTTTCTGTGTGTCTCATGGAGAGCAAGCTGGGGTATGTGAAAGACAAATTCCTAATGCACGAAATTGTATACAGTATGGCTAATATCTTGTGATCTTGTCTTATGATCTCCTAGAAACAAAGTATTAAATGTATTTACTTGTATAAAAGGGTTCTGGTTTGTTTTATTATCCCATTTCACTTATGCAAAACTAGCATTGTGGAGTTCAGTTTTTATGTATACTGTAAATATCCAGATACTCTTCAATGAGAGTTCAACGCTGCGCCATAGCTGTGATCTGCTGATGTCAAAATTCCAAATCAATGTCCAAAAAAGTGTCTAAATTCCACTGACAATGATAAGAGTAAAAGCTCAGTTTGACCTAACTTTTCTACTGGTATGTGGGAGGATAAGGATTTCTGTTTATTTTCATAAGTACCCAAGTGTTTTTCTTTCGACATTTCCATGTCACTGTTATTCCCTCTGTTCCTTATCAAAACTGACTGCAGTTGCTGTACAGTTGGAACAATGGACAGTCCAGGGACATTTCAGAAAAAGACTTTGCAGGAACATAACATAACATTTTTAAATGTAAAAAGTTGAAAAAAAATATGTGTCCTTGTGTTTGTGATTGTAATCATTCCATAATAGAAGAATTTAATATAAAAATGGTGAATGCAAAAATTGCCAATTTTCTAATGCTTTGGCAGAACAAACTTTGTCTTCAAGATTTGTTGTCTTCCCGTAAACATGAAGAGTAAGTGTCTGCCTACTCTTCAGATGAGAGTATCTGGTGACACGAGCTTCTTAGAACAGACGGCTGCTGCTGGCTTGAGGTTTATGGGTGAGGTCACACAGAGGGGAATGGCCCAGAGCTGCCATGACTTTGATGTGGCAGAGACAGCAGTGCCATGATTTCTGAACTGATTTCGCATTCCTTAGGAATGCGTAATTTTCAGTGCTCCACTGATTTACCAGCATTCTTTTTGAAACAATATTCTTGACACGGTTACAAACGAGAGGACCATTTGGCATATCTGGCTCATGGGATCACTTCAGTTTTGTGATTGATCCCAGGATTGCATCCAACTGGTTCTTGAAAAAATCGAGGGTACCGGCTTTTACAACGTGGCTAGGTGGGTTGACTCCAAATTCCCACAAACCTTTTTCCAAGTCCTGAATTTAGTCTTGATGATTTTTTACAGCTTTTACAATATTTGGAAATCCCCCTAGTTTAGTGTAATCTATGCATTTCCCGAAAACATACAATTTTTCAGTGTTCAGTTCAGTTTATTTAAGCCTTTAAATGACTTAACGTAACCTTTAAACACTCAAAAAATTCTAAAAATATATGTAATTGTAATAATCATATAATGTATTTATGCCACTAACCTCACAAGAAATGTTCATGGTGTTTAAATAAAAAAAGGCTTTTTATTAGACTAATATTAGATTTACTGTATTAATTTCATATCTATTTTACTACATTAGTAGATAATTGGATTTCATGTAAAACTGGACAGCACATTTTGTCATATATCATTGATTTGAAAACAACTTGAAAATGAGGAAATAATTACAAGTATATGTTAAAACAAGAACGTTTTAGTTTTTATAGGTTTTTTTAAAGAGCTGTGCCTTAAGGCTTTTTGTTCTGCTCTTCCACCTTGTGCCAAACTAATTTACTCAAGACTGAAATTTTAAAATTAGTTCTTTGTTCTGTCCAAGTGTAATTTCTTAAAATTATTCACATTCGACTTGTCCTTTTCACACATTACCTGATGATTAGGAAGCACAGATGTGCCAACGAATAGAGCTTTACGAAACTGACTGCACACTGTCACATCTGTGCTCTGCCACTAAGAGAACATTGAGTTAATAATCTCACACAAGAAATTCCATTTTTTATTAATTATTCAGGCACTTTTTCCAGGTTATGGCAATATCTGCCATTGTGGATAGATGTTCATGAACAAAGTAGTCTTATGGCCCCACCTCAGCCCAGAAGCTAGTTTTCAATGGGGGACCTATTCTTTAGAAGGAATGAGAGAAAAGACAAGGAGGGGAGAGATGGACAGGAAAAGAAGGAGCAAAAGCAAATGACTCCAAGTTGGGGAGTGGAAAAGAAGTGCAATTAAGTTCAAGAAGGATTGTTTTAGAGGGGTCTCTTAAACCTTCAACATGGGAGCCTTGCAATTTATTTAATGCCCTAAATCTTTAGAAAACTCTGGTACATCAACAAGCAGAAGAACCCTAGATTACTCACATCTGCTTTAGAGATTAAAAACGTTCCAATGCAATTTACTGTTTTTAAACACTTAAGTTATTGAGCTCTCAATTACTAAATACAATAGTACCATCCTGTGATATTGTAGATTCCTAATCAATGTGTTTTCCCAAATAAGAGAGATTTTGTTTAGATAAACCTTTAGATAAAGTGTTAAACCTCCTGTTAGTTCAATTTTAAAAACCACTCAAAGGAAACTGTGAATGAAGAGTTAAACTAAGAATATAAAATTCTGCAACAATATATTTTGTTAAAATGCTTTGTAATGATGGACAAATGCTGAACCATCACTACCACTCGGTGGACTAAATTGATCTCACTGGTGCTTGAACTGACATTACAGTTCAAATGACCTTTTCTCCAAAAGCACAATCATAACAATTCCTGCATGAAGGTCATTGACTTTAATCTTTAATTCTCTGCAGAATCTGATGAAATCTCTCTCCCAAAGGGTGGGACTGAGAAATAAAGGGTCTGGCTGTGAATGCGTGTGCTGATTACAAGATAAACTGGAAAGGCTCTGTCTGATGAAAATTAGTCCTCAGAATGCCTTCAGCATCGCTGCTGAAAATCTCTACTATATTATTTGTCTTCTCCTATAATATTTGATTTATAGAAGGGTTTTAAACTTCATAAAAAGCAAGGCAATGATGTGCTTTATCTTACTAAATTCGTAGTGTGCTTTATAGCTGAGGAATATTTTTTGTATATGTTTTGAGTATTATCAAAAGATATACGGTATACAGTATGTTAGTATGTGGCATGATAATGGCTGTAATTCTATCCCCAATGAAATTGAGATACAAGAATAATTTTCACATTCAACCATTTCTCATAATTTTCTCATAACTTTTAATTTGTTCACAAAAGAGAAAATAATAATAATTATTATTATTATAATAATTGCTTACACTCAAAGCGCTTTACAGGTAATGGGGACTCCCCTCCACCACCACCAATGTGCAGCATTCACCTGGATGATGCGACAGCAGCCATAGTGCGCCAGGACAATCACCACACACCCTGGGATTTTTAATGACCACAGAGAGTCAGGACCTCAGTTTTACATCTCATCTGAAGGATAGCACCTGTTTACAGTATAGTGTCCCCATCACTATACTGGGGCATTAGAACCCACACAGGCCACAGGGTGAGCACCCCCTGCTGCCCCCACTAACACCTCTTCCAGCAACAACCTTGGTTTTGGTCTCCCATCCAGGTACTGACCAGGCTCACACCTGCTTAGCTGCAGTGGGTTGCCAGTTGTGAGTTGCAGGGTGATATGGCTGTTGGCTAATGATCATGTGAAAGTGTTGTTTCTATAAGGGAGAAACATTAAAGATAAGAAAGTTCTACTTCAATCAGCTTATTATAAACAAGAAGCATGGTCTGTGAAGCTGGCAGTTACATGATATTGCTGAATGGATTTTGAACTTGATACTTTCTGTGCAAAAAAAAGGGAGTCAGGAGCACTGGCAAAAAGAAACACATTTCTCTTTTGGACTAAAAGAGAACCCAAAATCCACACATCTGTCTTGTGCTTAACTACTGTCTTAAAATCCCTCTTTTCTTCCTTGGCATTCTTCACTTTTGTTTAAGTGCTGTAAATGTATCTATTGCTTGGTTGTTTTTGCTTTTCAGCCATCATACCATATTGTAGAACAGGACAGGACTGTGGAATTAATCACTTAAAATGTATTTGCAGTTTACCTTCCGTTTGCATTATCCATGTTACCCTTGAGACACTTACTTTTTGAGTGACAGGAGGGCTCACTGTGTCAAGAACCACATTCTCTTTACTGTTTAACTCATTGGCAGACACAAACTATTTTTCTCAAATTACTACAAGATGCTCACTGGTACTGTTGATAATGTGAAATTATAAATGATGTGACGGGATTTATTTTATTTATCTTTTTGGTTTATTCACTCCTTTTCAGGAAAAACTCCAGAATACAGATCACCAAGGTGAAGGTTGAAGATTCGGGGAATTATACATGTGTGGTGGAGAATCTGTTGGGGAGGGACAACGCAACAAGCACCATCAACGTCCAAAGCAGTGAGTGTCAATGTCCTTGGAATCTGTACAATTCTTGTGCTTTGCTCTGCTTAATGCACCACAAACATGCTGCCGCTTGAAGTGATCTGCAAATCTTTTGACTTTTGCTATCAGTAAGAAAGAATCATTTTAAAGTGACTTTCTCTGAAGGCCAAAACAGGAAATGTAGTTCAGGTGGGTAGCTGTGTCAGCATGCATAGGCTGCAAAGAAACAATTAATAGGTTCATGCTGTGCTGAAAAGAGAAGAAGGAAAACACAACGTTTTAGCTGTGGAGCCTCTTCGGGTGTGGAAGATCTTTTCAGCATGGAATAAAGCTTGACTTGTTCCAAAACAGGAAAAGACCGGCTTTAGCAGGCCTGCTTTTTGCAAAACTAAGTATGACTTATGGTCATACTTACTTTTACAGTGACATTAGCTACTCGTTTGATTGAAGGCACTTGTTCAGGTATGGCTGCTAATCAGTACAAGCTCTGTGCTATCAAGTGACGTAAATTAATTGTAAATTGTAAATTGTATGTCTGTGTTCATCCTGCAATGGACTGGCATCCTGTCCAAGGTGTATTCCCACCACCCACCCTTTGCTTCTGAGATTGCTGTGACCCTTGACCTGTGACCTTGAACTGGGCTTTATAAAGAACAGAAAATTATGTTAGAGTAGCAATAATTCCTACCAATAATCTTTCGATGTTTTCTATTATTGAATAAGATTTAATTATTTGGAAACTTTCAAGAACATCATCTTGGTAACGAAGATGGTGGGTGTCAGGTGACAAACTCATGATTGTATCCAAAAGATACAAGAAGACACCCACACAACAGGCTCAAAAGAGGCTCTAAGATTGTAGATACTGTATAAAGAGCAGACATGCACAATTCTTAACTTCATGTACATTTACCAGATTTTCTAGCTGACAAAAAGCATCTATTGGGACTGTTTTGTAGAAAAATGTTTCAAGACTATACATGTACTTTAATTTGTTCATGTATGTCTTGTTAATTCTTAGAATAGTCTATAAAAAGAAATGTTGTTTTAATGCAGTTAAAGTAAACAATTATTTGTTTCTTTGGGAGATTAATCTATACAGGTACCTTACTGTATGTATGGGACAACCAAAAATGCCATTTGAATTAGTACTACCAATAATGAGTGCTGTGTAGGTAAAAAGCTTATGGAAGCAACATTTTTGTTTTCGTCTGTGAGTAACAGTTTCCTAAAACTTAAAGGTGTGATTAAATGACCACTGCAATAATAATGAACCTCCCAATTGCACGGACTTCTAAGTTCCCCCATTTGGGAGTTTTCCCCAGTGTTGTTCTAATTAAGTACATTTCCATCATTTCTGTGAACATTGCAGATACCAATCCCACTAAAAAACTACTTCAAGTTACATGAGCAAGCTTTTACGTCATGCCCTGAGGTTGCAGACCCACCCTTGTTTGGGTTTATTAAATCCAACGCCATGTGTCAGAATTTTTATAACCACTTACAGTAAGAAAATTAATGTAATGGGACCTACCTGTGAACTGATGGGCCTAAAATGCAGCACATTTCCAAATGGAACGGTTCCAGACAGCTGTGAATTACAAAAACAAAACTTTCATAACTTACTGTTGGTGTGTTGTGTTAGTGTGTATTTTTCTTCCAGTAAGAAAAAGCTTTACAAAGGATAGTTCTGGAAAGAGCCCAGTGAAGATAAAAACAGTAGCCCAGTTACTGGCCCATATTTCATACATAATGTTTTCATACATACAGTAAGTGTTTTAAGGACCTGATATCCTCATTGGGAAATATTGGATGGATCTGACAGAGGTGTACCAAGTCTTAGAAAAGGCCGATGACTTAATATATCGTATGTAGTTTGTGGAGCACAAACCTTGTTAAGGGTGCTGGATCATCTAGATGTGGCTGCCTATGCAGGCTGTGGTAACAAGGAGGGCTGGCTTCTTTCCTCATCTTGGCATCTGACCTATGTTCCATTTTCAGTCCATCAGATAACAGAAACAGGAGAAATTATGAACAAAGAGCATTCTCAAGTTTCAAAAATCACTAGTGCATTAATTTCAATAATTCCTGCGATGTTGTTCACCTCCCCCTTCCCATCAGAAAACATGAGTTGGACGAATATTCCTCTGCTGCAAAGAGAATTGTTGTTTCTTTTCAACAGATGATGTGTTTACAACTAATACAAATGCTGCACTGGCCTGACACAGCTGAGTGTCTGAAATAAAACAAGACTGAGCATATTCAGGGTGGTATGGCTGTAGGCTATATAAATAATTGCTGGGAACTGTGTATTGAAAGGAATAAATAAGTCATGTGGCAAAATGCACAAAAACCATAGGCCTATCAGAGAAAAGTATATGAAGGTATTCATTCTTAAATGCCACCTTGAAGTCAATACTTGCCCAGATTTGGGAGGTAAACAAGGATGGGGGTGGGCAATAACGGGGAGACATTTCTAGCAGCAGAAAGAAAGTGCTACAGAAGTGTGGTAGCAAGAGCTGTAGGTGTTGCTTCGTGTCTTCTGCTGTTCCATCATGGTTAAGACATTCATACAGTAATTATCAAATTACGTACATCTATTTACTGTTATGTGAAGTGATGTTCTGCAGCATCAGCTATTTGTCCATGAGATATGTTTGAAGAAAAATGAGAGTTTACTTTTTTAACAGAATGCCATCATACAAGAATACAACAATATTTTACTTTGTATGGTTTAGCTGTGTTCAGTACTGGTCAATGACCATTATATGACTTGTCATTAATTGTAAATGTTTGTGTGCCTACACATTAAAAGAGAATCAGTGGAAAACATATACTGTATTTACATATAAGTATTCAAATAAATTTTATTTGGGGCACAATAATGAGTTGGATTAGTATACTAGAATATGATCTGCTGGCTGTTATTCTTTTTAATATAGTTGTTTTGAAATATCTCTACTATAAGATCATCTTTCAGCAAAAAAAAATCCAGTTTTTGGTGTAGGTCAGGTTAGTGCTTGTTTATAATCAGAGATGTGCACCTCATCATTTTACAGATAAGATATTCTCACGCTTTTCTCAAATAAATCTGATTTTTTTAACCTTAGCTGTCCTGGTTTCTGTTTTGTCCTGAATGGGATATTTAAGAAGCTGATAGAATTTTTATTCTGAACTGACTGTATTAATTAAACCCTCTATTTTCTTACAAAAGCATACAGTAGTATTGTTCACCAAGAAAGAACCACTGCATACAAAGGGCATTGATTAGTTTCTTCTGAGATTGAAGCCTTAAGGCACCCTACTGAAAGTTATTTTCATTGCTTTAAAGAATTTTTGTAAGATACAGCTTAAGAAACATGAATATGTATTAACAGGATCCCCTCCCTCTTTGCTGCTGGGGGAATCCAGTGCAAATCAGATGAAACTGGTCTTGTTGATGACAGCAGTATTCCTGTTTGAGTACTGCTGCATATACAGTATATCCTATCTACTCCCACCTTAGGAGTAGTTGACATGAAAACTGTATGAAATTTTGCAAAGACGGTGATAATAAAACATAAATACCACTTGGAAATACTGTAGGAACATGGACAGCGTTCTATATGACAGAGGTAGCAGAATTTGTACAGGATGTTTTTCTTTTAAAAAAGTAGAATAATTATTTTATACCTTCTGAATTCTGTAACACCTCCTGTCCCAAAGGGGTAGAATGTGAACTTGTGCTTACACTGTTCTGACATGCCCACTTTTCAGAAATAATTCCTCATTTGATCCTGCTGTTATTCGCCCGAACTCTCTGTAAGACATCTTTAATCGGAAACATTTTGTCTTTAAATGGGGGAAAGGCATACACAAATTTCACTGTGAGCTGTCAAGTATTTCAGAGAATCATGCAGTGGCTGTAACCAGCAGAGTGATGGAATTGTAGAGATCAGTGCTAGATACTGCACATTTCTCGTACTCCACCAGCACTGCGTCACATGAGAAAAAATGATGGACTGCTTCTAGTGTCCGGTAGCATTGCACAGCTGAAGGACAGTTCAAACAGACAGCAGAGCAGTGGGTTCCTCAATGGTGCTGCGATTTAAGATACAGTACAATATCCCAATGGACTGATGGAGGGGAGAAGTGTCTGTTATTACAATATCAGTTAAATCACAAAAGACTGGTTTTCATCCCATAAAACACAGAGCTACATAAGAAATAAAAATATATATACACACTCATGTATATATATGCCTTCTGGATCTTTTGACTTATTTTTATCATAGATATACAAACGTGTTTTTATCATAAATATACAATTTCATGTATTGTAAATATGCTGTGTATAATTTGCTAAAGTATACGAAACACAAACACTACTGATATTCCTGAATTTGAAACCAATGTAGCATTTATATGTGCTAGCAGCCATATCACCCTGCAGCACACAACTGACAACCCACAGGAGCTCAGCAGGTGTGAACCTGGTTAGTACCTGGATGGGAGACTCCTGGGAAAAACTAATGCTGCTTTTCAAAAAGATGTTAGTGGGGCCGGTAGGGGGTGCTCACCTTGCAGTTTGTGTGGGTCCTAATGCCCGAGTATAGTGATGGGGACTCTTTATTGTAAGAAGGGCTCCGTCATTCGGATGAGATGTAAAACCGAGGTCCTGACTCTCTGTGGTCATTAAAAATCCCAGGGAATTTCTCTGAGACAGTAGCAGTGTTACCCCTGTATCCTGGTCAAATTTCCCCCAGTTCTTTACCAGTCATTGCCTCCTAATAATCCCATTCTCTGAACTGGCTTCATCACTCTGTTCTCCTCACCACTGAAAACTGGTGTTTGGAGAGCGTACTAATGCATTATCCAGGTGGGGCTGCACACTGGTGGTGGAGGGGATCCCCATGACCTATAGAGCACTTTGAGTGGAGTGTCCATAAAAGAGCTATACACTGTATAACTGTAAGCAATTATTATTATTATTAATTATTTTCAGGTATTAAAGTATTAAGTATTTGTGTTTTTCG